GATCGACCACAATTTCATCAACCAGGGGTGGTGCTTATCGGCGTCTTACTGCGACCAACCTCCAGCAATGGTTCAGATGACTGTCTTCCTTATAGCGGATCGCGATGCAATCGAGGAATATTTCGCACTTGCGACGCGATCGAGCAACACTTTTAACGCTTGCTAGAGGAAGAAATATACTGCGGTATGCCACAAGACGAATTCTCGAGGCCAGATGCGACATTCCCTTCAGAAAAAAAGATTTCGGAGTATAGATAAAAACGATTGGAGCTGTTGAAGGAATGATGGAACAAAAAAGCGAAAGCCATACACTCAGTCATCGTTGATTAATTTTCATCACTTACATTTATTGCTTGGTCGCCTCATTAGATATTTCCGCTAATCTCTTGGGTGTAAGATAATTCATTGAATGTTATGCTTCTTTACATTTATTAACTCTGCTTATATTACATTTATTTGTTTGAAGTTAATTGTTGGGTTTAAATACCCGACTTTGAGGGCTAACAGATAGTCACTAATGGTACCATGCTTGGGCAACTGATCAGGAAGTCCCTGCAGTTTTCTCCTATCGCTCGTTTACTGAGTTCGGCAACTGCCGCCACCAATGTAACCATCGACCAAGCCCAAACTCTAGCGATACAGTTAGAGTCGTCAAGGATAAGCGCGCGTGATCATAAGGAAGAACACGCGCTTTTAAGTTCGTCAGCGACGGGATATGTAGAAGCCGCCAGATCTCAATTACCTCCTATCCCGGTACCAACTTCACGGGTGAACTATAGGATTTTGCAAACTTTTGGAGGTTATCTGAAGCAAACGTCGACAGCCAACCACTCACCAAGTAGCAAAAGTTCAATTATCTAATGAACGCTTTACGAGAACGAAAACTGATACGCCGCTTTACGAGAGGAGAATTACGAGGAGGCGATTGCGATGCTACGTCGGAAGTGTGGAGATGAACCGCGTCTCATTGCCAAGCTCCAACAACGTCTGGAAGAAACAAATGCAGTTAACACAGGT